TTTGATCTTTTAAATTTCAATAGTAAAACATTAAAACAAAGTATAATTGATATACATAGCATATTATAAAATGTATTAACACATACATTAATAAGATACATCAATATAAATGACATTATAAAATGTGCCCACCTTGTCATTTTTGTCGCCTAGGTGGGCACGTAGTCGCCTTGGCGGGCCCCTAGTCACCTAGAAGGGCACCTAGTTGCTAAAAGTCAAGGCGTTTGGGTGAGGCACCCAGCCAAGGGCGCCTAGTTGCCTAGGTGACGCCTTGACAACTATGGTCCATCTCTCTTAAATCAGCCATTAGATCAGAAACCTTGAACTAGTCAAACTAGTCAAATCCTAGTCTTACTAGACTTGTCTAGCACATAGTTTGACTAGGACTCTTATTCAAGATTCTTAATTACCTAATAAAATATTTATCCAATTATGAGGTTACAGCTCATATGGTGTGGAACCCACAACTTAATGGGAGAGCCAACATATCACATGTTTTATATATAAGCTAGTGGAGCCGGCCACTTAAGTTTTAATTAGCCATTATAGGCTAATTCGACCATAGCTGTTATGGGCTTAAGTGATGATGCACATTAAGTGTCTAAACACTAAGAACACTTGGAACCTTTACCGTCCTAAAGTCCCAAGTATATTGGTTTAGCCTATTATGTGATAATCAAGTCAATGCAACCTAATTAATCACTTGCAATCAATGTCTCTGCTATAAACACTTGACACCACATTTAGGGAAGGATGTTTTCCCTCTTTGTCTTTATGACATGATGTCCAACTTCCAACACCATTGGATCATTGAGGATTCAGATAATTCTAGTGCCAACAGATTCAGGACTCCAAGTAGGAAGTTGTACAAAGACTTGTCTGTCTTTGATATACCAACCGGTGAGATCCTTCTGGGGTCAAATATCTGGGTATGTTGGGACAATCAAGGATGGTAAGTTGACTGGTGACCGGATTCAGATAATCCTAGTGCCAGTAGATTCAGGACTCCA